CCCTTGGTTTCTCAGGCTTTCGGCCTCAGACTAAGAGTTACACCACCAGCTTCTCTGGTTCTGAGGCCTTTGAACTTTAGCTGAACCACACTTCCAGCATCTATGGTTCTCTAGCTTGTAGACAACCTATCATGGGACTTCTCCATCACCATAATCATGGAAGCCAACTCCCTAATAAGTCCCATCCTGTATTTATACACACATCCTATTGACCCTCTCTCTCTGGAGAACTCTGAACAAATACACTGATGCCATTCCTGTCCTTCCACCACCCTCCCCTCCCTCTTCACTGGCATTCTTTCCACGATAAGCATCAGTGATATGACCCGTCATCTGCACTTCATCCATGGCATGACATCTGACATCACTTCCTCTATCCCTGCCATCACTGTCACCACTACCAGTACCTCCACTGTACTTGTCTTCATCATTACCATGACACCATCTCCAAGCCCATTTTCACCTCTGTGATCGCATCACCCTCATTACAAGGAACTCTACCTTCACCTGTATCTTTGCCATTCTCAGCTCTACACTCCTCGATTTATGATGGGTTATATGTGAGAAAGCATCTGGGTACGTTGAAAACACATCTAATTCAGCTAACCTACCAAACACCACCGTGTACTACATAGTAGCTGTTGGTTGTTTGCCATCACGACCCCATGACTGACTGAGACCTGGGGCTGACTGCCGCCGCCCAGCAATGCTAAGCTGTAGTCCTGCCTATGGCTAGCCTGGGAAGACAAGAGAAATGCAAAATTCAAGCATGGTTTCTACTGAGTCGAAAGTTGTATGTTAAACCTTCCTAAGCCAGGGTCTGTCTGTATTTCCAACTCTGTCCTATCCACCATTACCTCTCTCATTTCCTCCACCAGTCCTGTCACCATCTCTCTCTTCTCCAAAGCTCACTACCTAGTGACTACTGGAACTTGGACCTGGAGCGCAGTCAGAGAACATCCTACTCCCTGGCTGACAGACATCCCCCACTGCATTTCCCGGGGCAGAACAGCAGCAAGCCAGCTGTCGAACAGTCCTTCCTCTTGACCTCTGACAGGAGTCCATTCAGCCCTCCCTGTCGGCCACGCTGGTTCCCTAGTGACAGCTGCTGTCTGGTTGAAGGATGGAGGCCATTAATCCGGGGCCACCTTTGTTTGCATAATGACTGCATACATTTGCATCTCATTTGCTTCCCACCTCTGGATACTGCACTGTGGATGTTCGGGTACCATTTGCATATCACTGCAGGTGAGGGTCAGGCCTTTGAGACTTGGGCACTTATTAATTCCCTGGAGAGATTCTTCCATGTGCTGATTGGGAAAAGAACTTGAAATGCTTACTTCGAGACTCATCCAGCTGGAGGGCTCTAAGGTGGGCAGGTGAGGGGTCCAGTCCAGAGCCCGCAGGAGGGGGCAGCTGGAGCTTTGGTGTGGTCCAAGGAGGAGTACAGAGAACTCTGCAAGTCAGCATCAGCTCAGGACAGGACCCTGCAGTCACTGCTTTACTTTCTAGCCCTCAGTCCACTTAACTGTGAGACCTGAGCAAGTCTCTCATTGCCCCAGCGGGGATGGACTCCCTGTGTGTGGAAGGAAGGCGTTAAACAGACGATCATTAACCCCTCCGTCAGGCTCCTGCTCATACTCAGGGGTTCTCATCCCTGACAGCCCTTGACAATCAATCACCTGGGGAGCTTTTTAAAAATACCAGCCCTCTGGCCCCATCCCCAGCGATTTGGGTTTAGTTGGTGTGTTCAGGGCATTGGTTATTTTTAAAAGGCTCCCCTAATGGTTCTCACAGGCAGCCCAGACTAGAAGCCACTGCTCAGGACTCCAGCCTTGCACCAGCCTTCCTCATTTCCACTTGCTGGCTCACCGATATATGGCCCCAGCACCTTGAAGGACAGGTGGAGCTAAGTGCCCTTGTTTGGGGTCTCAGAAATCAGACCTCTCCTCTCTTAGGCCATGCCTGCTGGCTAGCATGTAGCAGGACAGTCCTTGTACTAGCTGGAAATTCCTTTCTCCTTGGTCTTGCTCCACACAACTCCTGGCTGTTGGGGCAGGTCCAGAAAGGGCTCTGAAGGGAAGGGTATATAGGAGGTGTACCATATTCTCTTCCACCCCTTATCTCCCAGAGTTGGTGCTGGCTTCCCACACATCTGCACATTCCAGCCTCTCAGGCCTTATTACTGCTGGTTCCATGTCCACGCTGCCAGACCTATCTTGGCTCCTGCTTGCCCCTACAGACTGATTTCCTAGTAACCCCAGAGCCCCAGCCCAGTTCCTGCCCTAGAGAAGAAACACAGAAGGAATGTCCAGAGCACTGAATTTGTTTTCAAAACAAGATGGAATAGCATGACTGTATTTGTACCTTCCCCAGCCTTCTGGGAGATATAACGAGCTTCGAGATAGATAAAGGAAGGAAAATGAAGCCTCCTCCCCACTCCACCCACCCACCCACCCAATGTCTGGCCTTGAGCATCTCAGCCCATCTGTGGGTCCTGTGAGATCAGAGCCTGCCCTGTAGAGGACCAGACAGGATGTAGGCTGTGGAAGAGGTGGGAGCCCTAAGCAAGTAAGGAAAGAGGTGAACACAGGAGCTGGAATGGTGTCAGGATTGTCATTGCAAGTCACTGCAGGACATCATTGAGATCCCCACTGGACTAACGACATGGGAACAGCCATGTATCTTTTTTCCAAAATCTCAATGCTTAGTTCTCAGTACTGAATCTCAGTACTTAGTTCTTAGTCTGAATGTTGCTGCCTCTCTAAAACTCACGTGTGGGAACCTAATGCTCACCATGATAGCATTAAGAAGTAGACTTTGGGGAAAGTGACTGCGTCATAAGGACCTCAGGAACAGTGCCCTTCTAAGAGAGGTAGAAGGGAGCTGCATTGTCCCACTTTTACCAGTGAGGAGGCAGCAACAAGGCATCAGCTGGAAGCTGAGAGCAAACCCTCCCCAGGCACCAAATCTGCCTTTATTTTAGGTTTCTCAGGCCCTAGGACAATGAGCAATGAATATTTGTTTATAAGTTAGCCAGTCTAAAGTATTTTGTTATTGCAGTCTGAACACACTAAGACAATACTCAGTGTGCTGAAATAAACTATGTAGACCAATGTAGTCCTGATAATGAGGGAAACTTAGGCTCTAGGATTCCAGTGCTTCTTACAGTTCTGTCCCTGAACTAGAAAAAAGAAACTTGTTCTATAAGTGAGAAAACAAGTGACAGAAACCTGTGCTGGCTTCAGGCTATGCATGGTGGCCTGAGGGGAAGCTCTTAATCTGAGTCTACTGGGCTGGGAGGGTGGCAGAGGAGGCTCAGTTCTTCTAAGATCTCCACATCCATCACCTCACCACCCGGGGTTTATCTGAACCTGGACCAGGTCAGTGTCAAGGCTTAAGCCACCTCATCTTTAACATCCAACAGAGATTGGCTCCCCAGTAGGCCAGAAGATCCTTGTAAGGACTACAGGGAAGTGAGATTCAAGGGGGAATCACAGAGGAGAGGGCTCTGGGATTTCCACCCAAACTTCATCCACAGGGGTCCAGGGACAACTATGTTACAATGGGGCTCCAGTGATTTTTAAAAGCAGGTTTGGAAATCATTGACCTAGAAGTTCCTGAATTTTTTAGTTTTGAAATAGATGTTTGACATTGCGTGCATATCCCAACAAAAAGTTACAGGCCACCAGGCTGAAAGAACCATGAGACAATACCAAGCCCATTTTTCTATCAACTCTTCTCTTCCCAATAAATGTCTTTTTCTGTGTGGTTCTTTGGCAAAATATAAACACAGAAGAATGAACTGTCTTGAGAACATAAAGATAAGGAGAACACAGTACCTGAATTTTCCCATGAGCCTTGCTACCGGCAAAGACAACAGCTAAGAGATTCAGAACCAGCAATGAATGGAAGATGATCACCTGAGAGGAGGACACTAACTGGGGACTTGGTGCCTTCTGAGAGATGGTTACTGAGTGACAGGAAGGGAGCAGGAGAGGCATGGTTGGCTGGACAGTGGGAGAATGGAACAGACCCCCAAGGACCAATGGATCCCTCTGCCTGACCAGCAGCCCTCCTGAAAAGTGTAGTCACTGGGCAGTGTGTGTGTGTGTGTGTGTGCGTGCATTGCTGTGCAACTCTATGCACACAGACAGCCCTAACCCTCTGTAGGTTTAGCCCTTTCTTGTTGATCACCACGTTTGCCCACAGGGCAATGTGGGGAGGCCATTCAGAGCCTGGGACAAACTGGGCAGGTGACTTGGGACTGGGGCATGGCCTGGGGAAGTAGGTGGGCTGTGCCTCTGCCCCAAGGAGACTGGCTACCTGGGCAAGAGTGGACTGCCACCTTGGGAGAGGCTGAGGAAGGCTGGAAAGCATGTTTCAACTCAAGGAAACATTGGAAAGGCTTAAGGGTGAAGAGGCAGTTGTGATGGGGGCTTTGAAATCAAGAAGAGAACTGCCTGCTGGTCAGAGAGTTGGAGTGGTCCTTCCACAGACAGTGGGGAAGCCTGGAAAAGCAGGTTAATTCTGTGTGACTGGTGTGTTGAGGATAAGAGACCAAGGGCATGGGGACAGAGGCCAGGTCAGTCTTCTCTCAGGATCTGAGCCCCAGGTATAGACTAATTCTTGTGATGTATGTTCAGTATTGTCTTCCACAAGTCTGGAAGGCTTAGAGTTGGTTCCACCCCAAACATTGGCTTCCAGATGTGGATCCAGTGAGGCTTTGCAGAACTTTCAGTAGGGGAAGAGTGACTGATCCCATTACCTTGGCCCAGGGTGACCTCTCCCTAAGTTTGAGGTGGTCTGCTCACCAGCAGGCCTCTCTTCTCACTGTATATCCCTGTCTTAGTCCTCGTGTCCCCCAAGTCCAATGTCAAAGGAGGCATGTTGTCCACCACAAACTGCTACTCCAAAGGCTGTTTCTACTGTGACTGTATTCCTGCACCCTCACCCCAACATCCCATCAGACTTGATCCCGACCGTATGGCCAAGGACCACCTTCATCTTGTCTGTTGAGGGCATCTGTCCACTGTGGGTTTGGTGTCCTCAGAGAAAGAAATCCTTTAATGGCTGAGGAACCTGAGGAAGAGGAAGATTCCGGAAGTGTGAGGTAGGCAGACATTTGTCTGTTGCCTGTGCTTCAGGCCTGTGACCAGACCCACTGGGAAGGATACAAGGTATGAAAGATGACTGCCACGAGCCCAGGAAGCACAATCAACCAGGAGGAGGAGCTCCACATGTGAACAGTGAGAAGACCACGCAGAGCAACTTCCATGAGTTGGTGGCCAAGAACCTGGCCCAGACTGGGGCTGTGCAGCTGGATGTGCCTGTCATGGGCTGGGTGTGGGAGGCCAGGGAAGGCTTCTTTGAAGAGTGGGTAGGGGCAGGAAAGGAAGAAGTCATTGGGCAACTTACATTCTTTTGAATGAGCTCAGCATAAACCATGCAGGCAGCAGAGATCAGCTCGTCAGCATCAAGGTCAATGAGTTTGTTGCAAGCCTGGGAGGGACATGCCCACATGTGTGTGTGCACATTCGTTTGTGTGTGCATGTGCGTGTGTGCGTGTGTGCATTAGTGCACACACGTCTCCCTGCACTTTTGGGCACAGGCACAGCCTGCAGACCTATGGGAAGAGGCCTGCTACTCACAGAAGTAATCTGTGATTACTTGATTTCTACACCTGACTGGCATGGTGTGTGCAATTTTATATTTTGGGGGGGAGATGGTAAATACAGCTTTCACACTGGGAGGACACTTTAGGAAGTCCTGGGTTCCACCAGATACCTCTGGAGCTTCTAAGGAGAATTTGGTTTATAATTGGAGCAGCCTTTCTTTCCCTTTCTTTTCTTCTCCTTCCCTCCCTCTCTCCACCCCCTGTTGTTGGGGGATCAAGCCCAGGGTTTTTCAGAGACTGGTAAGCACTTTACCACTGAGCTACACCGCCAGCCCCAGAACTCTTTCAAAGAAAGACTTTATATCTGCTTTAAAAAACAAAAAGGTTGGAAAACCTGAGGCTCTTTCACCACAGGAGTGTCCCAGGGCAAGGGGTTTATTGCAAGGCAGTAGAGCCTAATGGTTAGGCCACTCGAGGCCTCAGTTTCCTTAGGGGCTGACTTGTTATAATATATCGCAGAGCCTCTGCAGTGGGCTTCTCACGTCTATTAAAAGCCCTCCGCCCAGAGCTCAGTATGCCATCTGCACCCTCCCCACAAAGGTAACAGGGAAGCCCAGCACACTGTGAGCCCCAGCACCTGCAGCCAGGGGTGGGTGAGGTGTCAGAACTGCAGAGACGATGGGGGCTTGGCCTGAGTGTGCTCACCAGGAGGATGGCGTTCCCGCTCATGCTGTCCAGCAGCGCCTGCCGACGCACCATCTGTAACATGCTGTAGGCCACCAGCACCTGGAAGTTTCTGCAGGGCTTTCCGGTCAGCAGGACCTGCGGGCGGGCAGCCTCAGCCTGGGCCCTGTGGCCTGAGACTGCCCTCAGATGGTGAGCCACCCACCAACCATGTGTCAAGGCCAGCTATCCCTGGCCTTGCTGCCCCATTCATTCATTCATTCTCTCACTCGCTTGCTCAGACAAACGCTCAGGGTACCCCCGGGCTTTGTGCTGGCTACTGGGGAATTCAGAGCTAAAAGCCTCAGGGAATTCCTTCCTTTGGAAGGAGGAGGAGGAGGAAAAAGGGTTAAGGAGAGAATGGGATATGGTTGTAGTATGTTAATGGGGTTTTGCCAAAGCAAGATTGATGGGAGCTCCACAATCCAGGGGTATCCCCAAATGCCTAGGGTTTGTAGTAGACTTGGGCATGGAGACCAGTAGGCCGGTCTCCTGTATACGGTGGCAGCCCCAGGGGCAGGGCAGTGACGTGGTGACTGATGACCCCCCCAGCAAGGGTCACCAGCTGATGACCCTGGGGACTGTGGTCAAATGGCTATGTGTGTCCTGCGTTCTCCAGAGAAAGCAGCCAGCATTCTTGTGTCAGGAAAGGCCGAGGAAGGGGCTGCTGAGGAGCGAGAGCAAATGGCAGGGAGGCAGGCAGGCAGCTGAGCTGCAGGCCTGGCCTCCTACAGCACAGGCAGCTGACTGCCCTGCAGATGGCACAGCTGGTTGGGCCTTTGTATCAGAAGAACAGATGGACAAAATTATGCTCCAGCTTCCTCCAAAAAGGTGGGAGCAGGATTGCTGGCCTAATAAAACCCCAAACTAAGGTCTGGGTGTGGTGCCTCGTGCCTGTAAATCTAGGTATTCAGGAAATAGAGACAGTTTGAGGCCAGTTGGAAAGACCCTATCTCAAAAACAAGCCAGGAATTGTGGTGAATGCCTGTGATCCCAGCTACACAGGAGGCAGAGGTAGGAAAAGCCCTGGCAAAAGTGTGAGATCCTATCTAAAAAACAAACTAAAAGCTAAAGGGCTGTGGATATGGTTCAAGTATGCAGCCTGGCAAGTTTGAGGCCCTGAATTCAATCCCAGGACCCACCCACCCCCAAAAATTAAAAAAACAAAAAATACTCCAAGCCACTGAGATCCACTCAAAGCCAGGAATAAAAGGGGGAGGCAAGGACAACTTGAAGCCTCTGCCAGCCCAGGGTGGGGCCTGTCCCAAGTGTCTGGGGCTCACGTTCAGTGGAGCGTCTCACCTCCCAGAGTCTCCAGACGTCATCAAAGGATTTGAAGGCACGCTGGAAGCAGAGGCAGAACCAGGGGAAGAGGGACTGCACGACTCCAGCACCCTTCCTTCCTGTGGGGAGAGAGGCAGGGGCCCGCCCAGGAAGCCACAGTCAGGGGAAACATGGATCGCCACAAACAGCTCATGTGAAACATGAAAACCTTGGCTGCTACTTTTCCAGCTGCACACAGAGATTGTTAGGGACCGATGTTCAATAGTGCAGACACCAGGCCCCTGCAGATGGACCCTCCTCCCAGGGCCTGGACAGAAGTTCCATGGAGCCAGCCCCTGCCCCATGCCCACTGACAGCTGCCATGTCTGGTCCTGGCCCCTCCTGTGCCTGTCCTGGTGGGGTGTGAGGTGGCAGCAGAGGAAAACACTCACTTAGGTGGTCAGCGAACACGGGGTCCAGGAAGGTGATAAGGGTGTTGAGCGTGTCTAAGTTCTTGGCCACCCCAATGTTGATGACACAGCTGTGCTCCTGCACGGGGAGCAGGGGAGAGAGGCAGGGAGACTGAGTCCTCTTCAGCTTGAGAGCAGCAGAGAGCCAGCCCTGCTTCCCTCAGCCCCAGCTGTGGGCAGCTGAGTGTCTGGCTGCAGGCTGAGCCCATGTCTGTGGCTGAGTCTGGGGGGGGGGGCAGGGGTGTCTGTGTGTGTACGCATGCACATGCTTGTGTATTTATGCCTATGTCTGTGTAGTCTGTGTGTGCAAGGATGTCCATTAATACATGTGTGCAAACCTGGGTGACCATCTATGTGTCTGTATGCGTTTTAATTTTGCAGGAGGAGTGGGTAAGGACCTGAACATGTCTCAAACATGATTCACAATTCCATGAGCCCCGTTATCACCCCACCACACACTGTTGGGTCTGAGCCAACCCAGATAAGGAAAGGGCATTGCACATTGGCACGGGGTGGAGGGAAAGGTAGGGGATCTGGGCAGCTTCTCACAGGTCATGAGAAAAGGGTTTCCTAGGGGAGGGGTGTTCCTGGGAGCAACGCCTTCAAAGTCCCTCAGCCTGGATGGAGTAGGGGACACTAGGTCCCAAGGAGTCCCTGGTGTGTCCGGAGTGTAGGAGGGAGCAATAGAAGATAAGATGAAAGATAAGGCCTTGAAGTCCTGCGAAGGCTATCAGGTTTTATTCTGGAGGCCTAGGGAGCCACAGAGGATTGGCGGGGAGGAAAGCAGTGTTTGGGGAGGGAAAGGCCAGGAGAGGAAACCATCAAAGGTCACAGTGAGCACTGGACCCAGAGCATCAACTCTACCCCTCTGGACTCTGATGCCTGCCCCCCCTGTGAGCCCCCCCAACTAGGAGCCTCTGTGACCCAGAGTCTGAGGACTGGAGGGGGAGTGGCTGAGGCTGCCAGTGCCTGTCCAGTCCTGTGGGTTGATGTGAAACCCCTGTGGGGTTTGGGGGTCCTTGAGCTCTGCCTGGTCCTCACCGTTTTCTGCAGGAAGAACTGGAAGAGCCAGAAGGTTTCGTGTTCATGCTCCAACATGAGCTGGAAAAGCATCACCATCTCGTGGAAACCCTGCTGGTACTCTGGTGTGGAGGGAGGAGGCTCAGTGAGGAGGAACTGGTGGGAGGAGGGGCCAGGTCCCAGGCTGGGGTTCAGCCCTAGGCTCACCAGCCTGGGTGTTGCAGACATAACTCAGGAGCAGGGTCTTCTCCAGTTTCTTCTTATCAATGAGCACGTTGCCCAGCGGGTCTTTGTCATACAGTTTCTGGATGTCATATGCTAGGTTGGGAGCAAGAGACAGGTAGGTGGCACCAGATCATCTCCAGCAGAAGCCCATAGATGAGTTTTTCCCCACTCCAAGAGGGCAGGTCCTAGAGCATCCTGGGAGGGACCAGGACTCAACTCCTTACCACAACCTGAGCTGTCTGGGTTTCTCCCCACCTACAAATCTTTTTTTTTTTTTTTCTTCTTGGGACTGGGGCTTAAACTCGGGCCTTTGGGCTTCAAATTTGCAAAATAAGCATTCTACTGCTTGAGCCACACCTCCAGTCCCCTGCCTACAAGTCTTTGACCAATGCATATCCTTTTCCAGAAATACCCTTCCCTGTCTAATTCAAATCCAATCTATTTCAATCATGGGAAGAAGAGAGAAAGAATGCAGCAAAAGTAGCATGTGTCAAGGAAACAGTGTTGAGTATCTAGGGGGCCCCAGAAACACAGGTGGGTGGATTAACCAAGGTTTGGCAGAGAAAATTCCATGCCCAAGTCAAGGGAGCTCCCAGGACCTCAGAATCATCACCTGTCCCTGGAAATGGCCAGGGAGGGGCAGGGATGTCTTCAGCCCTCCACTCTGTCCAACCCCACTTCAGCGCTGCTCACCAATGTTGTGCCGAGTCTCTGTGAAGTTCCGGTGCAGGTTTTCCAGCAGGGGCTGAATCTTCTCATACATCTGGCATAAGGCTTGGTAGTTTTTCCTGTGAGAACAGCATCAAGGCTGAACAAGGTGGCCCTCCTTTCATGGGAGGAAAACTCAGCATCAGGAAGATACTAGCAGCCTGGCCCACTGGGGCTTTCCCCTCATCTCAGCCCGTGCCAACCCCTGCATTCCCTGATGTGTACCTGCACATCGACTCTGAGCTGGAACCCTGGCCCTACCACTCCACGACTGGGTGTCTGCAGTGGCATCAAGCCTTGGGAATGTATGCTTGAGTTGGAAGGACAGGTCAAGACCATATTTTGTGCTCAGTAGGATGATTAGTTCAAAAAGCATGTCCATATCTTACCCCTACAACCTATGAATGTGGCCTTATGGGAAAACAGTCTTTGCAAATGTAATTTAATAAGGATCACAAGATGAGACCATTCTGGATTCTCTCGGTGGACCATAAATCCAATGACAAATGTCCTTAAAAGAGACACAGAGGAGAATGTTGGGTGAGATGCCAGTGAACACCTAGAGACTCCAGGTACTGGAGGATGAGAAGGATTTTCTCCCAGAGCCTTCAGGGGAAGCCAGTGCCTTCATCTGCTCTTCTGGCCTCTAGAACCATGAGAGAAGAAACATCTGTTGTTGAAAGATACAGTCTGTTTGCTCTGCCCCCAAAACTTCAGGTGACCTAACACCAAAGGGCTTTTCCTCAGGCTCTCAGACTCCCAAGGTGCCCTGGATGATATCCTCTGTGGGCCCTGTGTGGGAATTCTTTTTCCTCATCCTGGCTGGGTGCAGCCCCTGCCCCAGGCCCCAGCTGGTGGGGTCCATCCGACTCAGCCAGTGTGTCCTGAGCTCTCACATGGACAGGTCAGACCTGCTGCAGGCCAGAGGCAAAGGTGACTCAGGGAGGACTCTGCCTTTGGGTCTCTCAGCCTGGTAGAGAAGAGGCAGGCTCCAGCCTCATCACCCTGGGGGTCTTAGCAGAACTGCCAACCAACAGCCTGTGGCTTAGGGAAGGAAATGTTCCCACCTACCTCACCAAAACTAGCCACTTCTCTCTGAATGGTGCCCGTAGTTTCTAATTCAGCCCTTACAACCACTCTGTGAAATGTATCATTGCCTCCATCTCACAGAGGCGGCGCTTGAGACTTTGACAGGGAAGTTCACAAGCAAGTTCACTCAGGGTGTAAATGATAGTGCTGGAATTCGAACCCAGCTTCCAGACTCAGGGCTGTCCAAATGAACTAAAGTGCCTCACCGTTTGGTCCCCTGGAAGATCCGGGAGGACTAGCTTAGAAGAAGTCTGATCAGAACCTTGAAGGAAGGGTGGGGTTTGAGAGGCAGATGAAGGGGAGGCCAGAGTGTGAAGAAGGAGTGAACCAAGAGCAGAGGGGTGTGCACCAGCCCAGCAGAGGGCTGGGGCTGAGTAGACGGGGTGTCTGCAAGGCACGCAGTATGGTTGGATGTGAGGTGTGGGATGGGGTTGCTGAGATACGGGAGGCACTGGAAGAGAGGCTGTGCTATTGAAATGTCACCAGCTACACCTCTGGGGATGTTGAGCATGAAAGGAGATGTGGGCTGTGCAGGCAGGCCAAAGCTTAGATCCAGGAGGCAGCTCAGCCATGGAGCCCAGGGAAGAAGGTAGAAGAAGCGTTCCAGGGCCTGCAGTGGTAGAGCGCACAGGCCTAGGGAAGGGTGGGGATTGGGAGCCAAGGGAAGAAGAGCGGTTGTTGAACCAGTGTCTGCCTATAGTTGCTGGGCTGGTCAGTGGAACTGGAGAAGAGGCGTCGGCCCAAACCTGGCAGCACCAGCTGTGTGCAGGACTGGGCACCAGAAGCCTTCTGAACTCAGAAAGGGAAGCCCATGTAGGGGAAAAAGACGTCTGCTGGCTGGGGTGGGTACGCTGCGCCACTGCAGCACCACCCATTCCCCTCCTGACAGAGGATCTGGAATGTTCTACCTTCTTTTGCTGTCTACTGTGAGCCGCTCATCCTGGGAGCTCTGCCATGAGTAGTAGCCTGTGAGGAACTTCCAGGCTTCTGTTCTCACGGAGGGGTGCAGGCCCTGCCAGTGGGAGGGAAGCAGGAGGTCAAGGGCCTTCCAAAGAGAAGAAGACCCAAAGGGATCCGCGCACCCACGCCCCCAGTTCCCAAGCAAATCCAAGAGTAGTTTGGGGACCATACCCTTTCCAGGATGTTCACACAGATGAAGTCCCGTGACTTGGCTAGGTGACCATTCTCGTCGAAGAAGCTATCCCATTCTGTCTTGTCAATGGGTGGCTTTCTCTTCACCTGGCAAGGACAGCTAGTTTAGCCCTCTGTGAGGGGCTTTTGGCTTTTCTTTTTTATCTAGGGTGATTTTGAGATGATACACTCTGGACTTCGCAATAGGAATCACAGCTCACAGCCTCTGACTCACTTCTGGAAATCTACCCTGAAGAAACTACTGAACATAGGTAGAAAAAAAATCCTGCATGTGTAATCATTTTCACTGTGCATTATTTCCCAGAATGAAAACTGTGCTGAATGTTCTATAATAAGGGAATAGTTAAGTAAACTGTGGTTTATATGCTTGATGGAATATTGTGAAGCAGAGAAATAGATGTTGATAAGGGATGAATAATAATCTGGAAAAATACAAATGTTAACAAGATGCAAAATTAGATATTCGGTATTCTATGTACTGTACTCTCTGGTTCTATGTGGTTCTCGTAGTACAACCCGTCTTCACAGATTAGACGTTTGATCATGGATTACTAAAACCATGCCACATAAACTCTAACATAGAGTACATTAACCTGAAAAAGTTGTTAGAGAAAAAGACTGAAAAAGGCTAGCACAAAAACTCCCTCCATTAAAAACAACAGTGATTATCTATCTTTGGATAATAGGAATGTAAGTGGCTTTTTTTCTTTTTCTTGTATTTTTCCAATTTTTTCATAATAATGGGTACTGCTTTGATAATGGAAGATGTAAGATAAGCAGTCATTAGACACATTCATGTGCTCTATTTTATCTTTTCCTGGAAATGTAAAAGAGTTTGTCACAAGGAACGGTTTCCAGTCTAGATGGGGGGCTGGGGAGGAGGCAGGGAGAGAGAGGTAAGTGCCTTGCATGCAAAGCAATTTGAAGTGCTTATAAAACAATATTCGGAGTGAAGCATCCTGTTGGATGAGAAGAAGACACCTCCCTTTCTCAGGTGTCCCCTCCTGTTGAAAAGAAGGTATCTTGAAATGCCTCTTTGCAGACAGACAGTCACGCTGATGAAAAACAGCCCAGAAGCTGAGCAGTCACACCCCCAACTTCCCCTCAATATTTGAATATGTACACGCATGACTCAAGATTAAATTTGCATCAAATCACTCAAGGGACTTCTCAACACAGAGTCTGATTCAGAAAGTGTGGGGTACAGCCCAAGATGAACCTCCCTCATAGGCTCCCAGAGGACAGATGCTGCTGCTGGTCCATGGACCAAGAGGTATCAGAGACAAAACAGCACAGAAATAAAAGTCAGAGCTCACAGGCCCCTTTAATAACGCTCTTTAATAACTCTCACATGCTCTCTCTTCTGAGCCAAAATAGGACACAGGGGGCTGAGTAGGCCAAAGGCATTTGACATTGGCTTGCCCTTGGGAAGCAGGGTGTCCCTGACAGCAGGCCCTGTCACTGTCATTGGTGACCATCTCCACACTTGGAGAATCGCTTCGGACTTCACAGCCCCCTGCCTTGACCTAAACACCAACTCTGCCACTTACTATCTATGTGACTCCAGCAAGTCACTCGTCTCTGTACCTCGGTCTCCTTGTTTATCAAACAAAGACCATCATATCACCTTCCTCAGAGGGCTGAGCTAACAAATGGCCTGTAAACAGAGCATTTAGGTATCGTTGTACACACCAGAGACTGCGGACAACTCATTTTGTTTTATTATTAGCCCTCTCTAAGCTCAGAGAACTGAAGAAAGACATTGAAAAATTCAGATCAAGGCCTGGTGATGATCTAGAAGCAAAAGCATTTAAAACGCAGGGACTGAGGTGCTCATTGTGTATTTTTTGCGTCTCGCTCTCTTAATCACTACGATCAATGAGACTTGAGATTCGTTTAGGCATTATCATTGGTTATTATGATTCTGGAAAAAACTACCGTGCCGAAAATTTTTGTGACTGAGGCTGGTTTCTAAAGAATAGCTGTGTCTCATTACCTGGGCTTGGAATCACCTACTAATAAAAATGTTACTGCCACCTGATGGCAGCTGAAATTGTTGGCAAAAGCACCAGAAAATTTGCCAGTCTTTTAAGGAGTGAACTTGCAAATCTAAAATTCAACAAAGCTGGAACGACACATATAAAGAAAAAGTAAGAGTAGCTTCCAGATCTCCAGATAAGGTAAAAATGGACGTGGGTGTTTTGTCCTGTTGTTGGTGCTGATAATAAAGACCAAGGTACAATCAACCCTCATCTGCTTTCTCTGTTACTTCTCCAGTCTAGCTTTTCTACCCAGCAGAGGAAAAGAGTCCCAGTGCAAACCAGAGGCTAGGGAGGGAGGCAAGAGTTAACGAAGAGCATGCACCAGCCAGGTGAGGTAGTGTACACCTGTAATCCCAGCACTTGGGAATCGGAGGAAGGAGGATCTCAAGTACGAGACCAACCTGGGTTACATAGGGAGACCCTGTACAAAGCAAAACAAAAAAGGGCACACACCAGGATGAAGGAGGCTGATCGCCTGGCAGAGAGGCTGTTTTCGGGAGAGAGGGTGGTCATGGCACCTGCTAGCTGTCTTCAGAACACCCTGTTACCAGAACTTACTTGGAGCCCTAGCGAGACTTAGTTAGCAACTCATCTTCCTTTTAGGAGATGAGTTGCGTTCCCAAGTGGAACTGGACCTCTCCTGACCCCTCCCACTTGAACAGAGCCAGCCAGCTGTGTCACAAGGCCCCTTGAACTCATCACAATGACCTTGGAACATGGTGCCTTCACCTTCAGAGGTAAGACACAACACAGGAGCCAAAGGGCTAAACCTGCTGGTCATCCCACCAACTGCAGTGGATGTGGGTCCCAGATCACGGTTGGCCTGGTCAGGGTGGGCTTCCTGGGAGAGGCATGCCATGAAGCCTCTCTGTGTACCTCTCACTCTGCTTCTGGATTCTCTTAGCTTGCTATTTCCCCAGACCAGCACCTGAACCTGGAGAAGTTTGAGTGCAAACTTCAGATTGGGGAGGACCTCTTCCAAAGGCTCTGAATTAATATGTCTGGACTAGAAGCCCGAGGAATGCATTTTTAAATTTAATTTTAATTTTGAATCAGCATACATTAATGATATAGGGACTGGGCACTGGTAGCTCACACCTATAATCCTAGCTACTTGGGAGGCTGAGATCAGAAGGATCGCAGTTGTAAGCCAGCCTGAGCAAACAGTTTGCAAGGCCCTATCTACAAAAATAACCAGAGCAAAATGGGCTGGAGCCATGGCTCAAGTGGTAGAGTGCCTACTTTGCAAGAGTGGGATCCTGAATTCTAAATCCCAGTCCTACCAAATAATAATAATAATAATAATATTACTACAGGATTTCATTTTGATAATTCCATCCAAGGGAATGTATTCTGATAAACCTCCTTAGGTGACTTAGATTTAGTATTTGGACAGTGGCTTCTGGGCCTACAGACTGTTTTATTTGCCCTAAGACAGTGCTGTCTTGGCCAATGTAAGATAATGAATAAATGATGGAATGTCTTGGGTCTCATGTCCTTCTGTTCCCTCTCTGTGTGTACCACAGAGGCTTGTGAGTGTCCCATCACTCCTCTTACCCTGAGTTCCTTTAGGCCAGGGTCAATGTCAAATTTCTCTGTGCTCACAGCTCCCAACACCAATCCTGCCGCCACCTGGCACTTACTTGGTCGGTGCCCCTGATGATTGAATGACTTACAAGTTGGCACTCTTGGCTCCAAACCCACCTTCTCCAGCCCCGCTGCTGCTTGTGTCTCCACAAGTCCCCTGTGGCTCAAAGGCATCCTTAGTCATGAGGAGACGAAAGTCATTGGCCAAACCAAATTGGAATCAGTAGCTCCAAGATGGAATTGAGACTCTGACTCCTTCTGAGCCACAGTTTTCCCAGCCGTGAAATGGGACTACAGACAACCTCTGCCTTTAGTGTCCTCATTAACCGAAAGAATTGGCACCTCTGGAAGTCTTGGGTGGACAAGATTCGTGGTCTCACTCGCTGTCACTCTTCTGCTGGCTGTAGGCGCTGCAGGAGGCCTTTAAAATCACAGCACCTGTCATCTGCCTCCCTCCACCACCCCATCCCAATTTAAGAAGGTGCTGAGCTCTTTTTCCTCTTAGCCTGATGCCCGAGGTCTGCACAGAGCATGGAGCAGGGAACGGGTGGCATAAGAACGGACTCCTTCCACATCAGATTGGCTTTTGTTCTGAGGTCTGCGAGAAGTCTCCGAGCACATGTCCAGAGCAGGAGATATGGCGTGGGTGTTCCTCGTCATTTGGGATGATGGATATATCTGTTCTTCCACCTTAGCCATGCAGACAATGGAGAATTAACTGTGAGTTTCCCTAAGATGAGGATCAAGCAGAGAGTTAGAAAAATCTGAGTGCAAAATGCACTGTGGTGGACGTAGATCAGCCACCGAGCTCCCTTTAACCTCTGGCTCCTTTGCACAAATTGAAGGTCATAACTCTCCCCCAAATTAGGCATTTCCAAAAGCCACATAGCAACGCAGTGCAGGCTTAATATTCAAACAGAATTGCAGGGCCCTGCACTAAAGCAAAATGGTTGTTGCTGGTGGGGTGTTTTTGTTTTGGCCGTCCTGGAGTTCGAACTCAGTGCTTTGCGCTTGTTAGGCAGGTGCTCTACCACTTGAATCATGCCCCGCCCCCCGCCACTTGTTTTTGCTTTTAGTTACTTTTTGGATGGGGTCTGGCATTTTTCCCAGACCCCGTGATTCTTCCACCCGGGCACCAGTGCCTCGGAGTAGCTGGAATTACAGAGGCACACTACCACACCAGTTTGTTTATTGAGGTTTTGTGAACAATTTCCTCTGGCTGGCCTTGAACAGTGATCCTCCCAATCTCTGCCTGATGAGTAGCTGAGATTATAAATGTGTACCACCATGCCAGGCCAAAGAAAAAGGTTTTGCTCTGCCCCACTGACTTCTGTTTCAGATTCTTACCACGGACTTAATGTGTCCCTTGCGGGGAGGGCTAAATGGCCCTTGCACGTGAATTTTTGTACACAATTGCCCAAGGGCTTTAGCTACCTACCTGTTTCTCTCTCTCTCTGGTGGGAACCCAGCTTTCTGCCTTAAATTTCTGCACACAGGAATTCCTCAGGGCACAGGAATCCCAGGTTTTCAAACATCATTCTTGGAATTCGCGTTCAAGAAATGCTGGATGGACGAAACACACCTGACCCATTTTTTTCTCGGTCGAATCTGGCTGTCCATTAGCTGATGCGGTTGTGCTGGTGAGGTGGGAGGGGCCCTGGGAAGTACCTCGCACTCTCAGATATGAGATGCTTATGCAATGAGAGAACCTCTCAGCTTTTGTGCCAGGAAGACACAGGTTCAAATCCAGACCCTGCTCCAACAATGATGTGACCTCGGCACCAGTCATGGGAAAAGGCAGTCTCGGGTATGCTGTCTGCTGATCCCTGCTCAGTGGCCAATGGCCAGAAAATCTTCCTTCCCAATCAGCTCATGTGGTACTCGTCACTTCCGTGGGAATATCATTTGCCTCTTCTAGGATCTACGTATACCCCTTTGTTCTGCTTAAGCTTCTGTGTCACATGGCACCTGGCCAACCCCACAGCTCTATCTGTTCCAGGTGGAGAGAGAACGGGTCCTTCCCTTGCAGCAGGAGGGGGGACCTGCAGACTTGTCCTGATTCAGCCATGGACAGAGACCCCTGGCCATGGTGGATGGACGGACACCCACTACTGAAGTCAATCTCGCTCTGCCCTCCTCTATGTGAGTAAAATGTTGCTCCATCCAGCGCTGTGTGAGTCGTGTGCTCCTTGGTGACACCTGCCAACTGTGGAGTGGGCTGACACCCTGAGACAGCTGCTCCTGGTGGCAGGCAGTGTTGTGCCATTTGCTGTCCTCTACACAATGAGACTCCTCCCTGGAGGCGGAATGGGAGTCATTTGCTTGACATGTCTCCTACCCTGTCTGAGCCCCTGCATCCTCCCATGTGCACAGGGGCTGCAATGCCTCCGGCAGCGACGGGTAAATGGAGCAGCTATGGAAAGGGCTCAGCACAGCCCAGGAGCGCAGGCGCACTGGGCACACAGGGTTACTGTTGTCCTCAGCACTGCCACCATTATTACTGACACCTAGGGCTTGGCCACAAATCACCATGAAGGTTTTCTCTGTGTAAAAACTAGACTCCAGCCAAGATGCTGCCCGCTTTCTCCGGGCTTATAGTAACACTTGTTACTACCCAAGTTCAAAGATCCCATGAGCCGGTCAGTTTCTGCTTCTCTGCATGTCTCCAGGATCCAAAGGGACCTATAAAAGCATAAGGCCAGTATCAGAAACCAAGTTGACTCAAGTACCCTCATGCCAACGCAACACGACAGGACTCTGAAACGCCATGCAGCTGTGTGTCTGCTAACGGGGATCAGACCTTTCACAGGCTGCCTCCCCAGGACTGTGTAAGTCCAGCCACCACTCCAGTTCTCCACAGAAATCACAGGAAGTCTGATTTTGTCTCATTGCTGAAGTGCCAAAGATCTTCTGTGCTAAAGCTGTTCTTTTCTCTTCGCCCCTCTTTGTAGGGAGCCAGGATAAGTTTAGATTTGGGGCGTCAGGCTTTCGGTCCTCGCCCCCACGAAGCACAGTGTTTCTGACAAAAATGGAGACAGCCGTACCTCATGTGTCACTGGCATGACAGGAGCAGCAGTGAGGGCGGGGCAGCGGGAGACAGCTCTCTTCTGAGCACTGAGGTCGCTGGAGTTCCCCAGAGCAGTAGCCAGCTCAGTCACCCTGCCAGTCCCCAGAGTTACCTGGAACGCCAAGGAGTTATTTGCTGCACTTTGAGTTACCTCCCAGGCCACAGGAGCCCACCTCCCAGCTAATTCTTGTGGGTGCCAGAAATGACCCTTAAGAGCCACTCTGGACAAAGGGAGTTCCCTGAGCCTTGGGCAGCTGAGACTAAGCCCCGGGAGCACTTTCCACTCCAGCCCACCCAGTCCTGCTCCTCAGGGTGGACCTCATCATTCTTCCTGCTACTGCCCCACCTCCCGCCCCCACTAGCCCAGGATCCTGGCAAACCACCAAACTGGTAGCTCTGACTCACCGAGTCCAGGTTGTGCCCTTCCTCTATTGCCCATGGCAACCAGGTGTCCCCTCTTGCCTCTGGACATCCCAACCACAGCTGCCTTTTCTTGAGCACCTGCTGTATGCCTTAAGTGAAGTGCTTTACATAAGTGAGTGTAGTGTTCATCTTGAACACCCTCTAGAGCAACAGAAGCTCAGAGACATTAAGTTACTTGCCTGGGATCACCCAGCTAGTCAGGTCCTTTCCTAGCTCTGCCCAGATTTGCTATCAGTCAGGCCATCTCTGGGTTGTGTGGAACTGCCTCCCCTGTTGGCAGTGGTAGGTACAGCCCACCTTGCTGACTTAGGGAACTGTGTTGTTACAGCCCTGTGGGGAGGGGGAGTTAGCTCACTCTTCTCCAGGATTTAACAGTTACTCCCATCCAGAAGCAGTGTGAGGCCATGACTGGTGTGGGGAGGAGGGGGAGCACTGCAGCCCAAATTGTAACAAGGATGGAAAGAGTGAAATGGAGAGGAAAAGGGACAAGGCATTCCAGCAAACACCAGGGACTGCTAATGCAGGGAAATAACATGGTTAATTACATCTCTGAAGGCTATCCATTCCAAAATGAATTTT